CATCATATTGGTAATTATTTGGGCCAATCACGAGAAAACCCTTTCGCCAAGGCCTTCTCAATCCAGGGCAAGTTCAGCGCAGTGCAAACCTGGGCGAGTGTGAAAGGTTGCAGCTTCGGTTGAAACCACTAATAGACTAAGTGGACATCTTGGGGGGAACTCGTTCAAGACTTGAAGCCCATAACTTCAAAGGCCCACACTCTGGAACTTGACATCCCAAACACTAGATCCTCTCAGCCCTCAATCCCAAATCTCGCTAAGCCCCGTTAAGCCCCTCCCCTCCGCTCCCCTTCCTGTCCTACTTCCCCCGCCTCGGCGTGTAGCTGTGGGCTCAGGTTCTCGAGCAGCTTCTGCCGCGTCTGATGCTCGGCTTGATGCCTCTTCCAGGGGCTTGCCAGCCATAAAGGGTGTAGGGGGGTGGTGGTGGTACCTGTGGCGGTGGCAGCGGTTGTGGTGGTGGTGGGGGCAGGGGCGGCAACGGCTGCGGCGACGGTGGTGGTGGTGGCAAAAGGGTCTCGACAAAACTAACCACAGGCACGTGGATGCGGAACCTAGAACACTTACGTATAACAAATGATGAGTACAATCACTCGGTGAAGGCAGATGGTTGGGATTGGCATTTGGGGAAGAAAGGTTTGGGGCTGGAGTGATCGGGCTCTACATGGAAGGCCCGCGATCTCCCAGCAAAGAGCCCACGAACACTGCGGTTGATTTGTCGTCACTGAGTTTTGCAGCAAAATGTGAGGTTCTTAGATGCCATACCAAAATAAAACCCTTGATTGCAGTCATAACAAACTTCTGAAATGCCTTGTTCGGATTCCTATTAAGGGCCTGTTGGGCTACCGTCAGCAGAGCCCCGGATTAAAAATCCTCAGCCCCGACCAACAAGTACCAAAAAGATCGGAACATCGAAATTCCCAGGCATTCTTTTTTCCAAAACAACTGTAATTACCCTGTGGCCAATACAACGCATAATCCTGTGTTTTTCAGGAAACCTGATCTGCCGCAGACCTATTTTCCTTGAAGTTCCTGCGAAATAGACAAGCTGTCTGCGCTCCATGAGGGTGCCGCAATCCCAGCCCATGGGTGGTTTCTAACATTGGGACGCCATTTTTGTATCCCAAAGTGATGAACAAAACGAGGTACCCCATAATACGCTTATCATTTTCGAGAATCACGCTCTGCCTGTTCTGCAAGAAGAAGCTGCGCATGCGCTTTCGAAGCTCCGGGGGTAGCCCCTGCTCTTGCATCAGGGCGTTCCTTGGCTTTCTGGTAGCTTGTCATAACGTCCTATGTCATGGGATGTCTCATAGTGGCTCCGAAGTCCTTGGGTCTGTCCCATGTACAGCTTGTGGAGTAGAAGCTGTCTATCCACTGTAAGGTCGCGAAAACATTCTTGAAGTCTTCATTTCCAAGCTTCGGAGGAGCAACTCCCCACGGCCCTCAACTGGTGCCACGACATAGATCCCAACAAGTGCTACTGCTAATGCGCCCTGGTAAACTCCTGGTACCCACTTAATAACCCCTATAGTAAT